TTTCTGTTATACGTATTGTCCACAATTAAAATGAGTGCTAATATCAAGTAATATAAATACTCTGTACTGTACAATTTTAAACAAACATCCATCTAAATTAAAAATAATCTCAGTTTTAGCACCGCGGACTCCAGCGACGACGAATCCAATTCCGACGCAGAATATTCTGAAGGCGTACAGAAAATATTATCGAATGTCAAAAATAAACGTAAAGCTGACGCAGGCAGCGAAGTAAATATATTTTACATTTCATAATCCAAAATCTATTATCAATTGTATATCTGACCTTATATTATTTTTCTTAGGATGAGCTTTATGCATTTAGTGATTCAAGTTCCGAATCAGATGATCAGAAAATTGCTGACAGTGATATCGAAGGAGCTGAAGACGATGATCTCCCGGATGCAAGAGCCTGGGGTAAACGTAAAGGCACTTATTATTCAACCGACTATGTCGATCAAGATTATGGAGGTAATAATGAAATTTTAATTACAAATAGTAAAGTGATTTCGAAATTATTATATTTTTGATATTGTGCAGGTTTCAATGATGAGCAAGAAGAAAAAATTGCTGAACAAGAAGAAGCTGAAGCCAGAGCTATGCAAGCACGTTTAACTAAAGAGTTGGATGTTTTAGATGATATTACTTTGGAAATTTTTCATAAGGTGATAAATAAAATATATATATATATATATATATATATATATATATATGTATGTATATGTATTATTATTATGTTAAATTAATTTTCAGAAAACCGATGCTCCTGATGAGCCAGAAAAACATATGTAAAGACAGATATATCCAAATTATCAACAAGGCAAAAACAACAGTTGTTCTTGAAAGAATCACCAGAGTTTCCTGGTTTAGTTGAGGATTTTGAAAGTAATTCTTTTTGGCTTTGTATTAAAATACTTGAGTTCAATTATTTGATTAATATTTTATGTTTTTAGATAAAATGGAGCATCTTCAAAAGTATTTAGTGCCCATTAAAAAGCTCCATGAAGATGGAGAACTCCCAGATAGTCCTGCAATTGATTTTGTACTCTGTCAACATAATTTAATTTTGAAGTAAGTTTTAATTGAATTTATAAATATAATATTATTATAATAATGTTTTGTATTTATTTCAGTTACTGCAACAACATATTGTTTTATTTACTATTGAAATCTAAGAGAATTCCTGTGCAAAATCATCCTGTTGTTAAACGTCTTTACCAATTTCGTCAATTGACTTTGAAACTTGAACCAATTTTTGAGGAGGTGATAAGAGATCAAATTGAGGATATATTGGAGAAATTCAATAACAAAGATACTAACAAGAAAATTAAAAATAAACCGAAAAAGAAGTTAGGTATTCTTAAAAACTATCCACCAAAACAATTAAGCAGCATTTTGTTGCTGAAGAACCCCCTGAGGAAGATACTGAGGAGCAGCAACCAGTATTACCAAGTAAAAAAATGAAATTGAATACATCGAGCTCGGAATCTGAATCTGAAGGTATGTCTGTGTAAATTTATCTTTATTTATGTATTTAATAACACATTTACACGTACTTTAATTTCAGCTGAAAGTGAAGAAGGTGCTACTGGTGGCAATACAGTGTCGTTGAAAGAGGAAGATGGTAAAAGGGCTATTACATATCAAATTGCCAAGAACAAGGGTCTTATGCCAAAACGCAAGAAGGAAATGCGAAATCCTCGTGTCAAGCATAGGAATAAGTTCCGCAAAGCTAAGATTCGCAGGAAAGGAGCTGTAAGTAGTCTCTTAATAGTAGTTAAGGGGGCTTACATTAATCACATGAGGCTTGAAGGGAAAAGGGGGGTTTTTATAAAAATCATAAATAATCACACAGAGGGACGGGGATCTAGTGAGATATCACTTGTATTTATTTTTTTGCTGAATTTAAAAAAATCCAATTTTTTCTAAAATATTTAAAAAAAAATACGATTTTCTAGGTACAAAAAATACATGTGATGATTTCTGGGGGGTGGGGGGTATTTTAAATATAACCAAGGGAGAGGAATGGGTCCAAAAATCCTTAAAGCGCGATCATGTGATTAATAGATGCCTCTTAAAAGGGGTATTTTAGTCTGTGAGTTTTAATACATTTATGGGGAGTACAAGTTTAAGCAAAATACAAAAATAGGCTTTGGTTTATAAAGGTAATTATTTGCTAGATGAATGCTATAGCATCCACGTCAAGTATTGCGCTTCTATTTTACACAATGCATTTGCCCAAGATAATTCAGATAAGATCAGATAATACTGAAATACCTAAAGAATCAGTTAGTCATTGCCTTGACAGGTATAATAATTGCAAAAACTTAAAGCTATATAAAATCAAATTCAAAATAATTGACTTTAAAATTTGAATGCTTTAGCATCCACGTCAAGTAATACGTTTCTATTTTGCGCAATGTGTTCGCCCAAGCTAATTAGTGACTAGAAAATACAAAAATACCTAAAGAATCAGTTAATCAGCCTATAGAAAATCAAATTCCAAATAATTGTCTCTAAAATTTGAATGCTATAGCATCCACGTCCGGAAACGTGTTAATAAAATCAGAAAAATACAATAACATGGGTAACATACATATGTACATTTAATTTTCTAGTTAGATTATCATATTTTAATTGTTGAATGCTATAGCATCCACATCAAGTATTTCGCTTCTATGTTGCAATGTTTTTGCCCAAGCTAATTAGTGACTATGGGTTATGTAAATTTAAATTCAAAATAATTGACTCTAAAATTTGAATGCTATAACATTCATGTCATTCTGCATCACAATGAAAATGAATGCTATAGCATTCACATCTGCAAACGTGCTAATAACTTGTATAAAAAACTAGCTGTAAGTGGAATTCTGTCTTAAGGCAATTAAGGCATCGTGCTTTAAGGCAAATTGCTGGAACTTCCCGTACCAAAAATTTATTAACAATTAACATTTTTAGAAAATTTTACTTCGAAAGAATAAGATTTTTAAGAAACTATTTTTAAGGACAAAAAATTACTTTTTTTGAAAAAAAAAAATTAAATTTTTTTTTTTTTTAATTTTTTTAATTGTTTTTTTCAAAAAATGTTTTAATTATTTTGACATATTTTGGAAGATCTGAACTTTTTTTTCAAAGCAATCGTACTGCTTTAACTGCATACAGACGAAATATGGAAGCGCGTAAGCGCCGCACCGTCGGTTAACGAATAAACATTGGTACGAAACCCATAGAAATGTAAACAAAATTTATACTTATTGTTAAAATTTCTAAAAAATATCTGATAATTTGATGTGCATATGTCTAATGATCATCTTTGACCGCCAAATGGCATTTTTTTTTACTTTTTTCGTTAGATCTCCGAAACCGCTAGACCTACCTTCCTACGAAAGAATTCATGAAAATTTGCCCAATTCTTTATCTTGTCAATACAAGTAAAATGTTTTTTGAATTATTAAAATCGGACGCTCCGTTCTCTTAAAAACTGAGGTACCGTTTTTGGCACTTTTTGCCCCATATCTTCGGAACGGCTAGACCTGCCTCCGCCAAAAACTAATCAGCACGTCTCCTTGTCAATACGAATCGAATGTTTTTTGAATTATTCAAATCGCTTCCTCCGTGTTCCCGAAATCGTCGGCGAAAATTTGTATCCGCACACATACACACACACATTTTTTCTAAGGTATGCCAAAATGTTCAGGAGGTTTTGAAACGTAAAGATATATAAAAATTTTCATTTTCGATTTTTTTGCGATTACTATAACTACGGGAAGTTAAAAAATGATAGCAAAAAAAATTCTTTATGCCTCTGGACTAGAATACCACCTTAATTAAAATAATAGTTATTAACTACTTCTAAATCAATTTTTTTTTTTTTAATAGGTACGTGAGGTTCGAACTGAAACTACTCGGTATGGTGGAGAACTTTCTGGTATCAAAGCGTCCGTGAAAAAGAGTATTAAGATTAAATAAACATATGTGTATAAACAATATTTGATCACAATATATAAACAAAAACCTTAACCAATTTTATTTTATTTAGGTAACAAAGATATAAAAATATTTATCATTTATCATTTTCATGTATATATTTTATTGTGTGGCGTTAACAATTTTTACAAAATCTGGTTTGAGGGAAGCACCGCCGACAAGAAAACCGTCTATGTCAGGCTGCTGTGCTAATTCTCTGCAGTTAGCTGCAGTAACGGAGCCACCGTATTGGATTCTCACAGAATTTGCAACATGTTCTGATACGTTTTCTTTTAGCCAGGCACGAAGAGCTTTGTGAACAGCTTGCGCCTAAAGAGGTAAAGAAATTTTTTTTTTTTATCTATGTCATATAGATGAACCCATGAGGGGTAATGGTAAGAGTTTGGAATTGAAGATGTGGATCAGAGACATGGACTTTAACAAAAACTATCTGGAGAGTTTTGAAATGTGATGCTTGAGACAAATGGAGAAGATAAAGTGGACAGACAAGGTAACAAATGAAGAAGTCCTGAGAAGAGTGGGAAAAGAAAGAACTCTACTGAGTACGATCATTAAAAGAAAAGGAAACTGGATTGGGCTCATTCTGCAAAAAGAGTGCCTCCTACATAACGCCGCCGAAGGTAAAATGGAAGGACGAAAGGAATAGGAGGTAAATACAGGGTATAGAAAACCAAAGCACAAAACCAGAAAGCATCGAGGCAGAAGTTTGGAAAGGAAAATGCAATGGGAATAATAATCAAGATAGGCAAGGGGAATCATTATTGACTTGATTGATGCCTTTGGGCAAATAGTCATTTATTATCATCAATGTTTACCTGTTCTGGTGAAGCAGTTTTTCCAGTACCAATTGCCCAAACAGGTTCATAAGCCAAAACAACATTAGACCTGCAAAAAAATAAATCATTACACAATTGAATAAATCTTATCTCTATAATTTTCATCGTACCAGTCATTGATTGCACCAGCAATAGCCTTGGTTTGCCGGAACACAACTGCTTCGGTTTGACCACTCTCTCTCTCTTGTAAAGTTTCTCCAATACAAGCAATCACCTGGATAATAGAAATAATAGGTATTTCTTTGAATTAAGCCATTTTGTAAGTAAACTTTTTTTTTTTACTTTCAATCCTTCAGCAAGAGCATGAGCTACTTTTTCAGCAACTAAGGAATCAGATTCTCCAAAAATTGCTCTTCGTTCTGAATGGCCAAGGATAACCCAGTCAACGTTCACATCTTTTAGCATTGCTGGTGAAATTTCACCTGGAGGAGGAAGAATTATGTAACATTATATATATATATATATATATATATATATATATATATATATATAGATATATAAATACTAGAATAATGTTGGTAGGCAACTTATTAAAATATATAACAGGAATACCCTGCTTATAGTGGGACAGACAAGATAACAAATGAAAACTTCAAAGAAATCCTGCAAAGATTGGGGAAAAAAGTTTGTACTGAACACGATCCTGAAAAAAAAAGAAAACTGGATCGGACCCACTTTGTAAAAAAAATGACTCCTACACAATGCAGTCAAAGGTGAAATAAAAGAACTGAAAGGTATGGGAAGGAGAGGAATGCAGGTGGTTGATGATTTAAGGGAAATACATGGAAGTGAAAGCTGAAACGCAGAATCAGGAAGCATTGAAGCAGAAGTTTGGAATGGACAATACACAAAAAATGTATGAAAAAACAGATGTACTGGCAATAGGAATGTTAGACAAAGAAGGAAAAGGGCCTTTGGTCAGATTAGTCCAGAGATTCTGCTAAATATGGATAAAATCATGGAAGAAATAGTGGAATTGAACCGGGTGAGATAATGTAGATATAAAAAATTTTGAAGAAATAGTTTAAAAGACTGGTGAGTGGTGGTATTTCTGATGATAATCTAAAGCAATCTAGCAATATTAAAGCAAAAACATTGGTTGTAGTGATTTCGAAGAAAAACTTTCAATAGGACCACAATGACTTGTGTACAAATTTGATTAAGTAATGCATATTTTGAAAGGAGTTTAAAAGCAATTAAGGCAAGATGATAAGCAAGGTATTACTGTATTATGTTTCTATATCAATCATTTTTTTTTAATGCACGGTTTTTTAGGTTATTTTTTTCTTTACCAGTATATGCTCCTTTTTGAACTTTGTAACAATTCTGGGCAGCAACACCAATGCTTTTAGGTAAATTTGCTCGAACAAAATCAAGATATAAAGCTGGGCAACCTACTACAACCTATATGGATAACAAGTTATCAGTATTATATCATTTATAAATTATACAACATGTTTTATAATTACCTCTACATTTGGGTCGAGTGGACCGGCTTTCAAAAATGCACAAATATCGTTGATAGATTTTTTATCGCCGTTCATTTTCCAGTTACCTCCAACGCAAAATTTACGGTTCGTCATCGTGATATATTTATTAAAAAAATATTTTAGAATAAATAAATGTGGAATGAACCTTTCTAAACGTACCGGTGTTTGCACTTGTTGCAAAGGTTGAATTAACTTTATTGACCTTTGTTTGACATTGGTTTGTTATCAAATAATTAATTAAGATAACTTCGCACCATACCGGTACACGAAATTTGAATTGAATTTAAATCAAATTTTAACTGAAATAAGTATTGGTATTAAAAACCAGGTGACGATATTGTATACAATTTCTTTATATTTTTATAAATATTATTAGTTAGTATGGTTGCAATTCATTTTAGCAAAACTTAAATGTGTACCAAAAATTTAAATACGATTCCGGTAAAACAGTGAAGTGCGCAACAGATTGAATTGATTGTCAGTTGTCGGTCAGGTCGGTGCTGTCAGTTGTCAAATTTATAGGTTAAAGACGCCTTTTAGTCTTCACAAATTTCCAAATTCATTTATATTTTTGTTATTAAAGAGTTACGTAGGTATTTTTATCTCTGTAATGTCATCTGATAAGCAACCACAATATTGTTTCAAATCAACCACCTTTGAGCATACAAGTAAAGTTGGAAACAAGAAAAAAGTGTGGAAGTCTTTAAAACAAATACTAGCTTCTGAAAAAGCATTGAAGTGGCCTGAGAATACAGTTTTATGTAAGCTGATAGATAAATAATTGTCTTTCTAAACTTTAATTGTTAGTAGCTACATATGTTATTATTGCAGATTCTTCAATTAACGCTTTGCCTTCGTTCAAGCCTGCAAAGAAATATTCGGATATATCAGGATTAATTGTGAGTATTGTTTATTGATGTATTGCAATATGTCTGACTTAGAATTATGCATCTATTTACATTAAAAAAGTTAATTGATATATCAAATATTTAGTTATATCTTTTATATGACAAACAAACCTGCCATATCATACGTAACATCAAATGATTATTAGTTAAGTTGAAAGATTTAACATTTTATCATTAAAAATAGCATGAATATTTTAAATATTTGGTATCCATATGTTTTGGCTAATATTCCAGTGTTTATTTAGTCAATGTAAAAACTAAGTAATTTATAAAAATTTAAGTTAATAAAATAACATTAAAATAGTAACATTAACACTTCACAGTATGAGAATGTGCTCAATGGTAATTTTCTTTTTATATCACAATTATTTAAAGTAATATAAAATTGTGTTTTAAATTATTTATTTGAATTTATTTTATTACTCCTTTTACATAGTATTTAGATAACAATCCATTTATTAACCTATCATTATTTGATAACTTTAAAAATTATATAACATCAAAAATATGCTATTTACTAGTCTACTAAAAATAATTTATTTATTTATTCAATTTTCTAAAAATCATGTAATTACAATCATTAGCTTCTTGACTATTATCCTTTCCAGGCTCCTTACACAGATCCCCAAACTAAACTTCACTACGCCAATGCTGAAGAGTTCCGCATAATAAGGTCATTGCCAAGTGACATCGTAGCAGGTTATCTAGCTCTGCGAGGTGCAACAAGTATTGTGGGATAAGTTTGTATTTGATAAAGCAAACAAAACCGTTTATATCATTAATAATCTAACATCCATTTTACTTATGTACAATTAATTCTGCAAAATAATATATTCTAGTTTAAACATAATAATGTGGTTTTTTCACAGAAATTCCATAATCTTGTAGAGCCGGTGCTAAATCCTCCATGGTTAAAGTGTACTTTTTATCCTTGTTTAATTTCGGATTCTGGGGAATTGAAATAATAACATTAAATACTGGGAAATAATTAGTAACTAAATAATCATTTTTTTGCAATACATACCTTTGAATTGCTTACGTTAGCAGGGGTATTAATTGAGCGCGTTTTACAATGTTGAAGGGCGTCATTGGCTACATCTGATATAAACTTTTGAGCAGCCAAAGATATCAATCTGATACTGCAACATAATTTTATTTATAATACTATTTATAAATGTTTTCACATAACACTTACATTCTAGGATCTGTAGATTCACATCCCGCACTTCTTAAATAATTGGTTGTTAAAGAATCTGGAATCTAAGGAGCAAGAACATAAATGATTTGTTTCATTTTATTAGTAAATATTTTTTACTACCGTAGGAATATAGTCTTCAAGTTGAAGCAAAAAATCGCTGAGTGGTTGTCCAGAATTTTGTCCATCTGCTACGTCAGGCATTGTACTTGGAGAATTTGTTCGACTTTGATTGTTTCTTGCCGCAAAATTTTCTCCCATATGTCAAAATATGGAAAGTATTTAATTTTATTGTCTTTACATGCAAGTAAAGTTTACAAACATCAAAATGGACTGAGAGGTTTGAAGGTTGCAAGATGTCAAATTCAAAGGGCAAAGTGTTGCCAGAGGAAAAAAGATAAACGTGGATGTCAGATGTATTTTGAATTTTAGCGGCAAGGTAAAATAAGAATTATTTCAAAATTAACTTTTATCAGTAAAGTGGTTTTTTAAATTCAAAATGTTAAAATTTAGCGTATATTCTAGTGAAATTATTTAGAAATAAAAATGATGTAGATGATGGATGATGTGGATGAGATATATTTTGAATTTTTATCCTCAAGGTAAGATTATAAAAATTATTTCCTCAAACTTTTAATTATTTAAAAACATATCATTTAATATTTCTTGCATATAGAAAAATACTATGAACTATCAAATAATTAAGGCATTTATTAACTTATTTACAAAAACTATATTGGGTAATAAAATTAGTCTTCATTAGGCAGTTCTTCCATGAACGATATTTTCACTGAATTCTGTTCATCTAAAAACTTCAGTTCCTCTGCTGTTAAATTATCTTGCAGTTGTTGTAGCGCAAGCAATATTTCAGCCTAAATAAAACAATCTTGTATAATTATAATTATATTGAATTTAAATCATAATTTAAATCCAATCATATCATTTAAAAATGCATAAAAGTATTAATGGTAATAGTAATTTGTTACTATTATTACCTTTTCCCTATTTTTTTGTTCATTTGAAATCTTATTCAATCTAAATTTCTCTTCCACCTGCTCTAGCCTTTCTCTTAATTGTTGTGGTTGTCGTTTGCCAAACATTCTAATTACTTCAGGTGTTTTAAATGCTTCGGATATTGCTGCACATAAAGCCTAAAATAGTAGTGTTTAGATAAAATTGGTTTAGTTTAGCATAGTTATATAATTTATGTGAAGGGGAACAAACCAATCGCATTGCTGAAAAGGTGCTGATTAGACTTAAATTGCCACTTGATAGTCGCTCAAGACTTTCATTCAATTCTCGCATTTGTTCCATTGTATCTTGTTTTGTTTCTAAGTACTCGCTGTTATCCATTTCTTCTCTTATGAAAAATAATGGATAAAAATATTATAGATGTAATTGTCATAAATAACAATTTAGAAATGGGGGAGATAAGAGCACAATGAGGTAGTCTTATTTATATTATTTTATTTAAGCTATGATTACAATCGTAATGGATAATGAGCATTTTTGTCACAGTCTTATTGCAGTAATCAGTTCAAATATGCTTTGTGTCTTCAAAAGTTCATTTTGAGCGTAGATAATAAAGACTTATTGTTATTTGTAAATATTTCTTATGCCAGTACTAGTAATTTTGATGAATTTCATTGCAATAGTCAGGATTTTGATGGAATGGTGATCATTTTTTCTTTGGACGAAATGATATACTTATCTAATAGATAAAATACAAAAGTATTTTGCAAACAGTGCAGGGGAGTTCATTCGAGGCCTAGAGAGAAAAAATAGAAGCATATCAAAGGTGATTGGCTTTTAAGGGGTAAAGAGTAGAGACTTGCAAATGGCATTGTTGATTTATTTGTGAATTGACTTCTTAGCACCTCAGTATGTGGACAAAATAGCTTTTGTAATTTGTTTCAATTTTTCTTGATAAATATGTTATTACAGTCGTCACTTAACTAAAAGACTGTGGTAATGGTACTCAAAGGACCTAAGAAGAGTAAAAACCATTGAGAATGATTAAATTGATAAATATTATTAAAAAAAACAAACCACCAAGTCCGAGTGCCCCCTATAATAACATAATCTAGTTACAGAAAGCCTGAAAATATATCTTCATAAGTGAGGTTATGTGAACATATAGCCTCAAAAAAAGTATTTAGAGATTCTTTTACCATTTTAATAAAAAGTATGTTTTTTCAAAACATACCTACATTCCTCTAAATCCTGCAATTGATTTACTAATCGTTCTAATTGGTTTTCTAAATTTTCAATTAGTTTTTGTGTTTCAGCTTTCCCATGGGACGTCATCATAAATATAAGAATATAAGTAAATTATATAGTTTTGTTTTTTTTTTAAGTTTTTTTTTAGTGAATATTAATTATAAAAGTAAACAAATCATTTATTAGATTAGATTTTCCTGTCATAAATTCAACAATGAAGTTACGGTTTTCAAGTTAACTATTACAGATTGCCTCTTTACCGATTGTATATGGGCCAAATCGCCTCGTGTTTAGTTCATTCTGACAAAATATTAAACTTAAAAACAATAGTTGTGTATTATGTGAAAGTATGTGCTGTTTTCATACGTTAACAAAAATAAGTACGAAGCATATATTTCGTTGAACGATCAGTGAACAGTTTGTTATTTGTTATCATCGTGTTACGTTTTTTTCTGATTTTGTGGTTATGTTCATACGGCCATTTTACTATCTGTTGGTTACAGTGCGATTGTACCATCATAAACGAACGCAGCCTTCTTGGCCGTTTCGGCTATTGTGAGTGAGAAATCAAATCATTCGTATTAATTCACAAACAATCAAATCCGTTATGAAATGTTGTAAAAAGAATTTCTAATTAATTTCGTACGTTTGAGTGTGTAAATAGTGGACATATGTATTCTATATCGGGTTAGGGTTGTTAAAATATCGTGTCGTGGAGAAGTGGTTTACGTGTCCGGAACGCCTATGATTCAGGGAGTAAAATGAGTGGAAACGGCAAACAGGTGCCTTCGCCGGCAAATCAGCAGCCGCGATTCAATCCTGGACAGTACACGTTCATGCAGCAGGCCAACATTTCACCAGGTTTGAGTTTCACACCTAATAAATAGTACCACTGTCATATGTTACTTCACTTTACGTAACGCCCCAGAGTAAAAGACTCGGGGGCTACGCTCGGAATCGTGTCTGCGATTATGACACGTACAGTACATTACTTGCAAATATTTGGTCTTAGGTTAGGACCAGAACTGTCAAAATGGTATTGTCATTTTTTGTGCGAATTGAACATTTGACAGGTTATAGTAATAACAAAATGGCAAATTATTGCTTTCCATTTTTATCTAATTTTATGAAAAATCTATTAAATTTCCTAATAACAAGCAAACAAGTTCCGGGGCATGATTTTGGTTATGAGTAGAGTTCATTAATGCATAGTTGGAGAGCTCGAAAACAAACTTACTCAAATAGACAGATGTCCTATTAAATTTACTCAATTTCTCAAAATGTTACTTAATGTTACTTTTGGCAAAAAAGACATTTGCTTTTAGGTTAGGATCAACTGTCAAAATAGTATAAAATATATAATATATTAGTTGATAGTATTATAATTTTTGACCGGTTATAGATTCAGTAGCAAATTACTGCTTACAATTTTCTTATCTTATTGTATTAAAATTCTATTAAATTTCTTCTGTATTAAAACTCAAGACATTTACTAAGGTTAGGTGCTCCAGAGTGGCTAGAGGCTCTGGAAACTACGTTCAAATTAGTGTTTTTGTTTGTGTCATGTCCAATGCATTAATTGAAAATAACTGTCAAAATAGTATTGTCATTTTTTGTTCGAATTAAAATTGACAGGTTCTAGATTCAGTAGCAAATTACTGCTTGCAATTTTCTTATATTATTGTATTAAAATTTAATTATTTATTTACATATTTACATTATTTTCATATATCAGTCAGACAGAGGTGTCTGATATGAGAGATTATGAAAAACAGTTTTCATACTTTATATATACATTTCATTTGACTATTTCATTATTATAATATCTATTATAATTAAAATATCTTTATATATAACTCTTCAGTCTTCTTTGTCTTTAATTTCCTTATAGTTAGTTAAATTCAAGACATTTACTAAGGTTAGGTGCTCCAGAGTGGTTAGAGACTCTGGGGGCTACGTTCAAATTGTGGTTTTGTTTGTGGCATGACATTAATTACAAATAAGGTCCAACTGTCAAAATTGTATTGTCATTTTTGTGCGAATTGAACATTTGACAGGTTATAGTAATAACAAACTAGCAAAATACTGCTTACAATTTTTATCTAATTTTATGAAAAATCTATTAAATTTCTTAATAACAAGAAAACAAGTTCTGGGGCATGAGTAGAGTTTTCAATGCATAGTTGGAGAGCTCAGAAACAACTTACTCAAATAGACAGAGGTCCTATTAAATTTACTCAATTTCTCAAAATGTTACTTTACGTAACGTCAGGTTAGGTTAGGTGCTCCAGAGTTGTAAAAGGCTTTGGGCAAAAACGACATTTGCTTTTAGGTTAAGATCAACTGTCAAAATAGTATTGTCAATTTTAGCGTGAATTTAATTTTTGACAGGTTATAGATTCAATAGCAAATTACTGCTTACAATTTTCTTATCTTATTGTATTAAAATTCTATTAAATTTCTTCTGTATTAAAAATCAAGACATTTACTAAGGTTAGGTGCTCCAGAGTGGCTAGAGGCTCTGGGAGCTACGTTCAAATTTGTGTTTTTGTTTGTGTCATGTCCAATGCATTAATTGAAAATAGGGCTAGAACCAACTGTCAAAATAGTATCATTTTTGTGCGAATTGAACATTTGACAGGTTATAGTAATAACAAAATGGCAAATTATTGCTTACATTTTTTATCTAATTTTATGAAAAATCTATTAAATTTCTTCTATTAAGTTCCGGGGCATGATTTTGGTTATGAGTAGAGTTCATTAATGCATAGTGTGAGAGCTCGAAAACAACTTACTCAAATAGACAGAGATCCTATTAAATTTACTCAATTTCTCATAATGTTACTTAATGTTACTTTACGTAACGTCATGTTAGGTTAGGTGCTCCAGAGTTGTAAAAGACTCTTGGCAGAAAATACATTTGTTTTTAGGTTAGGACAACTGTCAAAATAGTATTGTCATTTTTTGTGCGAATTGAATTTTGACAGGTTATAGTAATAACAAAATGGCAAGTTATTGCTTACATTTTTTATCTAATTTTATGAAAAATCTATTAAATTTCTTCTATTAAGTTCCAGGGCATGATTTTGGTTATGAGTAGAGTTTATTAATGCATAGTGTGAGAGCTCGAAAACAACTTACTCAAATAGACAGAGATCCTATTAAATTTACTCAATTTCTCAAAACGTAACGTCAGGTTAGGTGCTCCAGAATTGTAAAAGACCCTGGGCAAAAAAGACATTTGCTTTTAGGTTAGGATCAACTGTCAAAATAGTATATATTAGTTAATAGTATTATAATTTTTGACAGGTTATAGATTCAGTAGCAAATTACTGCTTACAATTTTCTTATCTTATTGTATTAAAATTCTATTAAATTTCTTCTGTATTAAAAATCAAGACATTTACTAAGGTTAGGTGCTCCAGAGTGGTTAGAGGCTCTGGAGCTACGTTCAAATTTGTGTTTTGTTTGTGTCATGTCCAATGCATTTTGAAAATAGGCTAGAACCAACTGTCAAAATAGTATCATTTTTTGTGCGAATTGAACATTTTGACAGGTTATAGTAATAAAATGGCAAATTATTGCTTACATTTTTTATCTAATTTTATGAAAAATCTATTAAATTTCTTCTATTAAGTTCCGGGGCATGATTTTGGTTATGAGTAGAGTTCATTAATGCATAGTGTGAAAGCTTGAAAACAACTTACTCAAATAGACAGAGATCCTATTAAATTTACTCAATTTGTCAAAATGTTACTTAATGTTACTTTACGTAACGTCATGTTAGGTTAGGTGCTCCAGAGTTGTAAAAGACTCTTGGCAGAAAATACATTTGTTTTTAGGTTAGGACTAACTGTCAAAATGGTATTGTCATTTTTTGTGCGAATTGAACATTTGACAGGTTATAGTAATAACAAAATGGCAAGTTATTGCTTACATTTTTTATCTAATTTTATGAAAAATCTATTAAATTTCTTCTATTAAGTTCCAGGGCATGATTTTGGTTATGAGTAGAGTTTATTAATGCATAGTGTGAGAGCTCGAAAACAACTTACTCAAATAGACAGAGATCCTATTAAATTTACTCAATTTCTCAAAACGTAACGTCAGGTTAGGTGCTCCAGAATTGTAAAAGACCCTGGGCAAAAAAGACATTTGCTTTTAGGTTAGGATCAACTGTCAAAATAGTATATATTAGTTAATAGTATTATAATTTTTGACAGGTTATAGATTCAGTAGCAAATTACTGCTTACAATTTTCTTATCTTATTGTATTAAAATTCTATTAAATTTCTTCTGTATTAAAATTCAAGACATTTACTAAGGTTAAGTGCTCCAGAGTGGTTAGAGACTCTGGAGGCCACGTTCAAATTTGTATTTTTGTTTATGACATGTCCAATACATTTTTTACAAATAAGGTTAGAACCAACTGTCAAAATAGTCTTGTCATTTTTTGTTCGAATTAAAATTTTGACAGGTTCTAGATTCAGTAGCAAATTATTGCTTGCAATTTTCTTATATTATTGTATTGAAATTCAAGACATTTACTAAGGTTAGGTGCTCCAGAGTGGCTAGAGGCTCTGGGGGCTACGTTCAAATTTGTGTTTTTGTCTGTGACATGTCTAATACATTAATTACAAATAGGGTTAGAACCAACTGTCAAAATAGTATTAGGGGGAAGTCCCCGAGTGCCGGACACCTAAAGTTATTTATGAATAAATCAAAAAATATTTTACGAAATGTTCATTAAATTATGACTTATGTTAGATAACAAAGTTAGAAATCAAACTAAATTAACAAAAACGCAATCTTTGCTAAACCATAATTAATATTATCAATCAAACTTTGGTAACAAAAAATGTGATTTTACGAAGTGGCACCTAGTACCGGACATTTCAAAATAACTAGCATTGAACACATATGTAGCCACCTCCACACTCGGGAATATGTGCACATTTGTGTTTGACGAATATTCTTAGATATTGCAAAAAAAATCACTAATTATCCACTCTTTTGGCTGGGCCACACCGATGCTCTCAGCTGGAGTTAAAAAATACGAAAAATGGGGGTATGCAGTGACAGTTAGCACTCATACAGAACAAAATTAAATAATTCGAATAAATTACGTCCATTCTCACAAGAAATATCAATAAGTTTCACTTGTATTTTGAAATAAAAAGATTTAAAGATAGAGTATCCGGCTTTAGGTGCCGTCCGGCGTTACGGGACTTCCCACTATCATTTTTTGC